CATGCTTGCTACCATTGTCGCCACACTCGTCCATACCTGCCAAGTTTCTGGGATTGGCTGGGAGACTCCTGGATTTCGACCGTTTCTTTCGTTTGTATGGTTGTCGTGAAAATCTCTCGGAAATAGAAATTTCTGTGCATGATCTGGCCGCGTTGACAAAAAAGCAGCTCAATCCGCTCCAGGCTTTTCGAACCTACCTCATTTTATTATAAATGAGTTGAACGCCTCCTCATCTAAACGTACAGTACAATCTCAGCGATGTGAAACCATGGCAGATATGAATTCTTGAAATTCTCAAGTTCAATTCCACTATGTTCGTTGGGCCTCAATTTGAATGTTCTGAACACATTTCTTAATCTCGGCGGGTGATACGAACTTTAGTGCGGAAACTGTCAAACGAAGGCCGAGAGCAGCGTACTCGAAGCTTCGGAAGTACATTTGCGGCCGGCGCATGCACTGTCTTCTACAGTACGTGCGATTGTCGTTGCCACACCCGCCGTGGATGAAACCGCGGTCGCTCTTTACATGATCATGTATGGTGACGACGTGACAGAACCCCAAAAGTGTGTGCTCAATTAGTCAAAGCAACGCTGCTTTCCGCAAACTGCAGACAAGCCTGCGGCAGATGCTATCGTAGATGGCATAAAACGACTTAGTTTTGAAGGCGCGTGCACAGCCAAGCGCATGGGGATTGTAAATTGGAACTACCGTTTGCCGCAAACGCCGCGTACAAAGCCGCGGTCGCGGCGATGCAATAGCGATTTACGAGCTCCGAGGGCACGCAGCGGTAGGTTAAAGGCAGTAAATACGTAAGAAATAAAAAGGCTACAGTTTCGCCGCAAGGGCGAAGCAATAAATGCTACAGCAACAACTTCGAATTTAAGGCTGCGAACGGCAAGCAGATCGAAACGTGACGCACTGCCAACACACTGACGCACGAAAACGATACTCGCAGAACGAGAGCGAACTAATGACGTTTACCGCTCGACACGTAACGTGCTGTTTAAACAAAAAAGATGCATGATACGTAATCACAGGTACAGATGTGTACAAACTGACAACTGTCCCAGTTGTTATACCTCGCTGTGTATGAAAAGCGCACTGTTTTCGCAAAAGGAGCCTGTTCAGAGCTCAAAGTGGCCTTTGTGGGGCCGGCAACTAACGGTTTCGTTTCAGTGAAAGCCGAAGGCACACGATTCCCCCACCAAAGGATAAGCGCGCGTGCACAGGCATCCATCAATGAGGCAAAGTACACGTGAGAGATAAGGACACGTCGGCGCATCGCGACGAGCTTGGTGCCGAGCGGGGGCGGCTTTTAGAGGCGAAGCTCCTCAAAAAGGCACCCGTTCGTCTCACGTAGTAGTGCCTAACATGTCTTGCGCTTTGATCTGCAAGGAGGTGCCGGTGGGAGATTTCTCCTGCGCGTGGTTGAACAACAAAAAATTCGCAGCGTGCGCATTAACTAAAATCCGAATTTTCCTGTCTCTCATTCCCCATTAGCAGCCATTGGCATGTACATTGAGCACTATCTGACAAGAAAGGGTGGTTAAGTTATACTCGCTGGACGTAACCTCCTTAGTTTTAAAAAGGTTTAGCAAGCGTTGAGCCGCAGTGCCATAAATACAATGAACTAGTATATACCATGAACTCAAGGTGGTTAAAGGTGGGAAGTAGACAAGAAGCGCAAGCCGTACGAAAGTGTGCGTGTGCCACCTCTCGTTTAGTCCTTAGAATGTCTGCTGGATGGCGGTGCTTCCATATGCGGAATATATGATGAAAAGATGCGAGATGGTGGTACTTGAAGTGTTGACTAGATGGGATGGACGTCGGGGTGGGTGCATGCACGAACAGACGCTTGCACGGACGGTCACACATACAGACGCATATAAGATAAAAAGATGCGAGATAGTGGTACTTGGAGTGTTGACTAGATGGACGAACGGACACACAGACAGATGCATGGACGGATGAAGGGGAGGATGCCTGGACAAATGCAGTGACGGACGCACGTATGGACGTGCGGTTGGACGCATGGACGGTCACACAGACGAACGCATGGACGGACGGAAGCAAGAACGAATAGACGGACCGATGCTTCACCCCACTCTCCATCATTCACCCCGTGAATATGTTGCTATTTTTTTTCTTTGAGTGTTCATATTATATATAGATACGTATACATATACTGTGAAGGACGGCGACGGCAAAAAACAGCCTGGACTGTCCATATAATTACTATCGGAATAAAAAGGGGCCAGACGTATTTTGGCGTTCCTGTCAAAAGAATGTAGTAGTGAGCAAAGCTTTGACCCGGACTTTTGGGGCAGTCAGCTGCGCCGTCCCGTCTGTTCACGTGTGTCCCAGGAAGACACATGCGAGTTGTTTTGACTGAAACAGATTCTGCTAGTTGTGTTGATCCTTTGAGACTCTCATCTTAGTGAAAAACTTTACCTTCGTTTGTTTGGCCACTCCTAGCCACTATAAGACCGCAACGCTGATGTTGGCGCTTGCGATTGAGACCCTCTCCCACCACCTTTTGTTTTTCGCAATGTTTTTTTTTGTTTTTGTATGTCCTTCTTTTTTTTGTGTCCCCCTCCTCCCGTTGTGGAAATCTCCCGGATTCAGAATCCTTGAACTTGGCAGGTATGACACCATACAAGGTATAGTACAACATATACCTAGTTACGTGTCTATCGTAATTTCGTTCACTGTAAATCATGAGGCACTTGTGGGACACGAGACTATTAAAATGAGAACTCAAATTTTTTTACACGTCCAACAACGTAATGAAACAGAATACAGAACAAAATTGGCCTCTTGAGATCCCTCTGGACGAAAGCGCTCAGCTAAGGTCGTGATGACAAAATTTTGCCCCGACTTGCCAGCGAAAAACGAAAGGTGAAGAAGGTACTAACTAAAACTCACGGCTCCTCACAAACTAGCTCGATATCGTTTTCGATCAGTATTGTCTCTCCGGGGCTGTCCGAAAACACGTCTTTAAACTCCGAAACAATCCTTCTGAAGTCCTACTTCTGGCCTTCACTTAACCTAGGCTCTAGGTTCAACTGCTCCAAGACTGCCTCCGATTCCATTTCGATTACATTACTGTAGAGGTCAAAATTTCTGCTCCCTCTTCCTCTGAAGCATTCAAAAGCAGATTTACGACGGCTTGACGTTGAACGTATGGTTTCATCACGTTACTGTGGTAAATTTTGTTCGGCCGCCTTCCTAATTTCACTTCATAATTGGTATCAGAAAGCTTCGATATTACCTTGGCGGGCCCTTCCCAATGAACCTCAAGCTTGTTCCTTTTGGGCGGCCGCAGCAGCAGTACCTGACGACCTACTTCAAAAGCGCGCTTCTTCACCGATTTGTCGTAGTACTCCTTCGACAACACTTGTGTAGCCTTCATGTGGCTTTCCACAAGATCTTTGGTTTTTCCAAGTCTGTGAAGGAGGTCTAGAACATACGCAACTACATTAGGGTCCTCATCGAATCCCTCCCAGGACTCGCGTAGCATTCGCAATGGTGTTCTCAAACTCCTGCCATACACAAGCTCTGCAGGGCTAAAACCAGTGCTCTTATGAGGAGCTGATCTCCAAGCAAACAAAGCGGGAGGAATAGACGCTTCCCAGTCGCATTTGTGCGCTTAGCAGAAAGCTCTCAGCATCCGTTTCAGAACGGAATGCATACGCTCTAGCGGATTAGATTGTGGGTCATGGATCGAGCTGTGCACTACTTTTATTCCACATTTATCCAAAAAGGTAGAGGTAAGGCAGCTGGTGAAGACACTACCCTTGTCGCATTGGATTAGTAAAACTCAACCTTCTACCCACTCCCTCTGTTCCCTTGGGCAAAGATTTCCCAGCTGCGTAGCGGCTGTTGCTACAGAAGGGAGTGGAAGGTCGGTTGCTTCTTGGAGTCCGTCTTGTCCTGTCGTGGCTGCTGCTGCTTCTTCGGGGATGGAGGCCAGCACATTTCGAACGTTACAACAATTCGACTTTATATACAGAAAATAGCAGTGCATCCACGACATGAGGGGAATTGAGCTCCTTAAGTGGTATCAGTTCTGGAAAATTTGTGGCTACGCAGAGAGCCGTCAGGATGTACCGACGACCTTGCCTTGACTCTGGCAATGGCCCGACGATATCAATTACTAGGCGCCGAAAAGGTTCTGTGGTAATTGGTGCCAGCTTTATGGGTGCCTTCCACTTGTCCGTAGATTTGCCCGCTCTCTGACAAGTGTCGCATGAGCGTACAAAGTATTCGATATTCTTCCAGCATTTCGGCCAATAAAATTCAAGGGAAACTCAAGCCTTGGTCTTTTTTATGCCGAGATGCCCTGCTCAGGCGCTTTCATGCACCAGTTTCAATAGTTGGCGACGATACTTTTGTGGCACCAAGAGCTGCTCATACTTTCAACCTTGCACATTTTTGTAGCTCTTATACAGAAGCCCTACCTTCTAAAAAAACATTCTTTTTCTTATTCTTTTTCTTTTTCCTCAAGTTTAGTCTTTTCATTAGCGCTTTAATCGAGAGGTCCTCATGAGCGTTTCTCGATCAACCCTTGACAGCTCACAACTTTCCACTACAGGCGAGAGTGTAGCACCCCTCTCGCTCTCATCCAATGGCGTCATGTCGTCTCCTCCGCCGACAGAGACGGCTTCCGCGACGGGCGACTCGGGTGACTCATTCGAAGAATCGCCTGTCTGCGGCACCATCGCCTCGCCGCCAAGGTCACGCAGATTAGCCTCTTTAGCAGGTGGTATTTCACTACACTGAACGAGATCAAGTTCCTGCGAAAGCTTCCGCACTTGTGATCGCGTGAGGGCAATATACGCTAAGTTGGAGAACGATTTACCCTGCTCTTTAAGAAGATGCTCAGAGTTATTAGAAAAAAAATAAGGAAAACGGTCGGGAAGCGCGGCAGACACAGCCGCCTCGGTGCGAAGCTTGCCGAACGGGCCTTCAATGACAACCGTAGCGATTGGTAAGCAAGCTCTCTGCTCCTCGGTGACTTGCCTGATCCACGCGCATTCTCTTGTAAAGTCGTCCGGAGATGCCAACAAAGGATGGACAATGTATTGGTTGCTGCTGAGTCTCGAAGTGCTCGACACGTTTTCCGTTCACACTTATTTCTTGTAGATAGGGCTCCAACAACCGCATGTTCTTTTCCGATTTTCGGATTGTGGCGAAAGCAAACTTTTGCTTACAGTTTATCATGATCTGCCCTTCCTTTCTGCAGTTGTAGCAAATTAGCGGCTTCCGTGATTCAAACGCCCGTGTGGTATCAGTGCGTTCTTTAGGAACCTCACTCTGCTTCCGTTTGCCCTTCCTCTACAGTGTCCTTTGTAATAGACGGGTCCTCTCTGAAATCACGCTGCGGAGTGGGTTCCCGTTCATCAGGTTTTTTTGTAAGCCCTCTTTCCTTTCACCCTTTTCAAGGTGCACTGCCTTACTATGCAAATTTCGGCGAGTAAAATACTCCTCAGCTAACTCTGCTGCCTTGTTTAGCTGTACTTCAAAGTTTGTCCTGCAGCTAAAGCTTGACATGCTCCTCAATGCAGCGGTAGAATTGCTCCAATGCAATGCTTTCTACCACTTTATCTCGATCGTCATAAACACCTTCGCCCTTGAGCTATTCAATTAAATCGGCTTTAAGACGAAATGCCCAGTTTCCCAGTTTCACACAATATTCCCAGTTTCACCGTCTGTAAAGGTGAACCAATATTGTCGATGTCTTTCAACGCACACTACACGTCACAGTCAACACTGCCCATTTTCGAAAACAATGCCGCTGTTCCTCGCACAGGCCGCCGCATGTGTTCACTTCTCCTAGATAAACAGCCAGCCAGCGTGGGAAATAGTTCATCACGCACTTTATCACACACCCAGATCTTCTCTGACACATACCGAAGCTAATGTTGCCTCTGAGATGAGAATTAAGCTTTCAAAAAGAAAAAAATAAAACTTGCCCCAAGCACCAAGTGACTGCACCCCACTCAGCCACCAGCCAGTGCTTTGCCAACCGCTGCCTTGCACATGCACCGGTGATGTCACACTGTGACGTACCCCGGTAGAGGTCTATTCTACGACTGCTGACCTGAACTGTTGCAGAAGCTACGCTAGGCGCCTGCTAACACTAGGCGCTCCTGTCTCTCGGCCTCCTCATGGCATTCTCGCCTTTCAGCTTCTTCGCGTTCGCGAACTTCTTGCCTTTCAGCATCCTCGCGGCGTGCTTTGATATCCACCCAGGCCTCATCGACTTTCTCAGTCTTGACTCCTACATCCCTCATGATCTTAAAGATCGCTTGTTTTCGTTTTGCACGGCCCAAAATAAGGCCCAGTTCCTCAAAAATTTCGATGAGTTCCTTCACCTTAAGGCTCTCCATCGTTTACACTAGCCTCTTGCTGTTTGCCCCTATTAAGAATCTACTTCCCGCAACCCCACACCCACTATATATCGACTAACAAGACGCGCAAGCAATTTTAACACTGCGGTGTTTACACCCTCCGCATTAACTTTGGTTTCAAAACACTCCGACTTGGCTTTGTTGCGACTGCGGGTCCCGCGGGTCTCAGTTTGGTAGCGGGCCCCCGTCCTAGGATTCATCGTCGAACAAGTCAGTTGAGGCGCTCGTAAAAACGACAATTTATTTACATGGTTAGTAACTGAGAATTAGAAAGGAGGTGATCAAGTGATCAGAACTGTACAGGAGAACTGTTGACCTGTAGAACTCTAAATACATGAAAGTCCTCGGCTTATATAGCGCCTCGTTGCCAACCCTGGGCACATTGTCCGCGGCTTCCGCTAATAGAGAGCTCCATGATCTAGGTGCTCCACCCACGAAGGAGGGGAAAGACACCACACAATGCATGTCGAGATGGCACAGTCTACACTATGCCTAAATATGGTCACAAACGCACTGCACTGACGTTTTCCCACATGTCACCAAGTTTCGCGCACGTCCGATGATCTTGGTTTCCTAGATTCTTCTGGCAGCTAGGTAAGGTTCGAAAAACCAGCTGCCAGTACACGTGTCAAACTTGCCTGACTGTTTGGGTAGGACAATGTAGTGGTGGGCCAGCATATTGTCAAAATATGCCACCCCATTCAGCCGATCCTATGGAGAAAGGGGGGAAGGAGGAGTAGTCAACTATTCCCTTGTGAAGGCAGGCTCCCGCAAGAGCTATAGCAGATAGCGCCCTTTTCTTTCCTTCAACCCCACATCCCATTCCTTGTTGTTTGCTAGAAGCTGTGGCTTAGCTGGGCATATCTCAGGGCTCCGCTTCTCTTCACAAGATGCAGCCACAACCAGTTTGGCTTTAGCTTTCAGCCTGAAGTACAAATACCATGCTGGTTCTGAGATTTCCAGAACCTCGAAAATGGCCCAGCTGCCTCCTTGTCTGCCTCAAAAGCTTTGCTCACAGCAAACACAATCGCCTTTCTTGAGTCGAGCGCATAATGGCCATTCTTGGTTCGTGGGTTTTCTTTGCGTGCGCGAACCAGTCCAGAACCCCTCGTTCAGGTTTTGCCAAGAGGAATTCAAGCCATCTTGACGGCAGACCCTTGCTTGGAATGCGTCGAAATATTTTCGTCCGGTTCACAAAGGCCGAAAAACTTCAATAATGATGAGAGTCGTAACAGCTTGAAATGATCAAAGCTCACTTTAATGCTTCACGCAGCCCTTCTCTAAACTACTATAACTTGTGCTAGAGTAGTCTGGTGAACTGAGAGGAAAACATCAGGCACTCACCGCATCGATGTCCCTGACGCCGGCCGATCCCGCAGCTGCCACCCACTATTACGAGGCGTGCCGCCGACAAGGTTATGAAGGGCACCACGAAACTCCCTGCTTACAAGGACACCGGCCACGCCGATAGCGTGGGGCTCAACGAGCCGAGATGTATTCTCTCTGATGCATACGTCGGCTGCTCTCCGACGCATAAGGTCAGCTGCTGGCAACGCGCCGTTTGGCTTTTTTATAGCCACCGGGTGGACTTTTACGTTCCGTCCATCGGAACATAATGTCCAGTCAGAAGCGCCGCTAGCCGTGATGTCAGATTCCTCCAGTGAGGGACCGCCGCTGGGTTGCGTCATGATCCTCAATTCTGGAGCCGCTGCGCTGGATTGCACCCAAGGACGAGTGATGTTGCCACGCATAACGTAAAACTCGCCAGACTGGATGGCTCCGCTTGCATGACGTCGTTTAGATGATGTCAGGCAGGCTCGCTCGCTGACCTTAACACAGATCGCCTTTGCAGAGGCAATGACGTCCGGTGTGGACTCCCAGGCGTAATAATGGGTAGTGTGCTTAATGAGCATGGGGACAACAAACTTCGCCAAGCAAAGTGCACTGCGATAATCTGGCAGTCATGAAAACAAAATATTATCAGTGCTTGTTCCTTGTTTTCTGAGTTATTCAGGGTGTCTACCAACCTGGAAAAGTCAGGGAATTTGGACCCGTCTGGAAACGTTAAAGAAATGTCTGGGAATTTCTGAAAACTCTGGCCTGGTCATGGAAACAGACTAGCGTGTGCGACCATAAAAAAAATAAGCATTACCGTAGATCAAAGCTTAAAAAACCACTCTTTTGGCTGCAACCACAGTGAACAGCTAAAAGTTGTGTGAAAAAAAAAGCAGTGCACAACTGTTGCTTCTTAGTGAAGACTCAAAAAGATACACCAACCAAAAGAATACAAAGTTTACTGACATTATGGCACCTGCTACGTGAGCCTTGATCACAAAAATAGCCATAAGAAAGGCACAGCATCCCTCTAGTTTTTTCTACTTTGGGATCCTCGTCTGTATATTCATTGATCTGATAACTTTTTTTTAGAAAACAATAAACTAAAAATGAAATGAAGTACGCCTAAGTACATGACGTAAGCACCGGAAGTATATTGTTGGAAGCATCCCATCACTCCGGTTCATCATATGTGCAATTGTCTGCATGGGCTGGTATTTCATGTGCAAGCATAATGGAAGCTTTCCTTTGGCCAGAACATGCACACTTGACCAGTCAGTTTGGTGGCCTGTAGAATCCACATGTTTAGTGAGGGCATATAATGCCACGTAGTTTCCTGACCTAATATTCGTGTTTAGTTTAACGGCAAGGAACGTAAATTTTTTGTAGATGGTTGATTCTGGGTGATATGAATGAGGGGGGGGGGGGGGGTTCACTCTTTCCTCGAAATCACTGGTCCCACCAATGTACTGGTTATCAATATTGTAGCAGCCTAAAGTAAAAAAACAAGTGGAAATTTTTGCTCGGCAACTTGTCCTTCACGTTGTCTAAAGCGTTCCCTAGCTTCAATATTCGTACATACAATGTGTTGATGTCTGTTGCTTATACATATCACGCAGCATATCTGGCTTTCCAACCACAACATAATTCACGTCATTAAATTTGTACATGTTTGTCTTGACCATGATTTGGCTCTGCTTGAAGGCCTTTTGGTTCGGCTAGGACTGCCATTAGCAGAGCCTTGCCGGGCTATGTCGTGCCTTTATTATTATTATTATTATTATTATTATTATTATTATTATTATTATTATTATTATTATTATTATATTATTATTATTATTATTATTATTATTATTATTATTATTATTATTATTATTGGCAATGCGACGGCAAACTTCTTCATCTAAAATTGTCATTTCAGTTCCTTAAGATGGTAATAATAAATCAGTGGTTACTTTTTAGCCCTATATCTAGGCTTGTGCGAATATTCGGATACTCGAAAAAATAGTAGTGTATTCGAATGTAAGTTATGAATATTTCAAAGTATTTTATAGGAACGAATAGGTCAATAATAAACTCCACATACCTGCCTGTGTTAGAGGTTTCACTGCAGTGTAGTAATGGCAAACCGCGAAAATACATAATCAGGAGAAATTTGCTCTGCTGCGAAGCCCCACTTCAAATTTAATGAGGCCCGCCAACACTTCTTGAGCATAATCAGCAAACGCTGCCACTCGGTAGTTGAGGCTACTGAGAACACGTCAGCTAAATATTATAGCGCAGAATGCGACCTAGAAATCACAATAAATTCTCAAAGTCAGATAAATATTGCTCTCTTTTCTCTGCAAATGACGCCACAATGTCAAAAATCGCTCGTTACAGCCATTGTACCAGCCATTGGCTGATTTGAAAGTGGGGTGCTCGGTCGTTACTGGGGCACCGTGAGTGGCCGCAACACCCCAGTAATCAGGCGCAGTCGCACAGAAAAGCTGCGTATTCAAAGGAAAAGAAGAGAGAAAGAATGCTCAATCGCACTGAAAAGCCACGTATTCAAAGAGAAAGAATCAAGGTCACGACGCGCACGTCACGAATTTTCTTTCCCCATGCCATCTCCCAGCTTTTCTTTAAGTGCTTTTGAGGTACACGAAGAGAGAATGCAATTGCAGCATGTGGTAAATCTCAAAAATCAACTCATACTGGAAAGATTCTAAAAGTTCTGGCGGCGGTTAATTCGTGAGGAAATAAGCTTCTTTAGTGAGTTCATTCCATGGCTACTTGAAAAGCTGTTGAAAAACCCTTTAAATAAACCTATGATCCTCAAATTCGTTGATAATTTTAAGCTTACAAGCTTGTTTTGCCGACTTGTACACTCTAACTGTAATGAATAATGTTACGTATTTTACAGGTTATCATTTGCAATCTACTGAAAGTCAAATCCTGCTACTTATCAAAGTTGTTTCGACTTTGAACAGGAAAAAAAAAGAAAGCACTTGCATAGAGACTTTGTTTCAATTTAAAAAGTATTGGGCAGGTTAGTCATCTATTAGAATAAAATTTGAAATTATTCGACCAAAATCACTATTCCCTTCGAATTAGTTTCAAACCTAAAGTTCACTATTGTCACAACCATACTTTTATTCATAGCAGAGTACACAAACGAAGTTAACCCGCCGGCATCTATGATAAATCTATGTAATCGAGAGAGCTGTTGCGCCCTGACAGATTCATTCTCGCCAGCCCATGTCAAAACGTCATCACTTTAAACGGTACCCCTAGCATTCGTTGCAGGCATCTGAGGACTTTGTCGAATTCTAAGTTTCAGAGCCCAGAGAAACATCAACATGCATGTGCTCGTTGCGGAAAAGAAAAGAATGAAACAAAATAAATTATGCAGTAAGGCTCTGTTCTTGCGACGTTGTTAGTCATGGTTCAATGCAAGGTGCACGGAATACGTGAGTAGTAGAGTTTTTTTTTTCTGAAAAGTACATTAAGCAAAAATGTGTGCAATTCAGCTGGGGATGCAAAAAGCAAATACAGTAATCCATGTCGCATCAGATCCAATCTACATCCTAAGTGACCTGGGCCATAACCATTATAGTGAACTATAATATATTCCAGTGGCAGAACTGACCAGGCTCCAGCGTCCTTCTTTTACACAGATGCCACGAGATGGTGCTACTTCTACGTTTTCTAGCAGCCCTAGCTTTATTGTAAGCCTGTAGTGGGCTCCTTTAAACTTTTAGCTGCAGTAAATTTTAACTGGCGTGTTTGCTTTCTCGTTCTTCTAAATAATAAAGTCAACTTACTTACTCACTCACTCGGAGGTTTCATTTGGCCA